GAATTTAGACGGGCAGAGGCAGATGCTCAGGTAGGCTAGGGCTGGATGTGGACAGAGCCGTGACCCAGGCTTGGCTAATTGAAGTAGCTACGGGGTGGCCAGTAGTGATTTTTTTTTAAATCAGAAGTGATAAAATCATGATGTGACTGGAGAGAGGGTGGTGGTGGGACTTCCCATTAGGAGACCCTCACAGTAGGCAGGTGAGGGCGACAGAAGACCTGAAGCAGCTGTGACTGGTGTAGGGAGGGCTCTGCACTTCCACATTGGAGAGAGGTGGGGTCGTAGTGGGCAGGGTCTGCTTCACCGAGTAGATCTGAGGAGGGGGTTACAGGAAGATGGGGAAAGAGGAAGCAGACCAGACTGCAGGATTTTCACCCAGGGCGTGGGAGTGACCACATGCCTTACATTTCCAATCTTAGGTCTTCATTTTCAATTGTTTTGAATTATGTGTGTCATATAATGTTGATTCAGGAAAGTTAGGGTGACTGGGAGAATGGTTGATATGTTTAGTATTTCTAGGGGTTATTTGCTTTTCAGAAGCCAAACGATTCTCCAATAAGTAATCTGTACAGTAGAAGCTGCTGTCGAATCGCAGGGGCTATTTCTGCTTTTCCCTCTATCATCCTGCTCTTTGGGGAGTAAAAGACATAGAATCACTCTTTAGTTGCACGTGCATTCCTCTGCCTGGTCACCTATCCCAGCCAAATCCCCTAATTTCCAGACTCAAAGAATACAAAACATTTGTTTTATTTTCTCCCATCATAAAAGAATACCTGATTGCTCTTTTTAAAATTGTGTATCATGTGCTGGATAATTACGCAGAAAGGAAATGAAAAGAGCCTCTTTGTGAATTTTCCTATTAACAAGGTTCCAGAGCCGAGTGTTTATGCAATTTCTTCCATGTGCCGTTCAGCCGTAATAGGTTTCTAGATAAAAATGAGGCTGCATTCAGAGTCATATTCAGGGGGGAATGATGCTAATGGATGCTAATGCAGTGATGTAACTGTCGGCAATTTGCTACATAATCAGGTGTGCCGGGCTCTTGTTTTTATAGCTCTTATATGAGCATTGTCAGGGAGAAAAATAACACTTGTCTGATGTGCTGTGTCTCTTGGCTATGAGACTGACTTTACAGGTAGATATTCTCTGCGTTTTCTGTTGAATTCTCCCCAACCTTGGAAATTTCAGGGCTTTCTGGTTGCTGGTAGAGAATTCTCTATATTTTGTTTTTTGGGGGCTTTAGAAATCCTGGCTCATTCTAAATCCGTCCGCAGGGTGCTGCATTATCCTGGGTACTGCGGACATGACTCTAAACTACCTTATGCAAAAGAAACAAATTATACAGCTAACATTTATTCCGTAGATTCTTTGTTAGCTATGAAAAGCGAGATGCCCGGCACATGCCAGATATACACGTTCACTTGCAGTGTCTGGTTTTATTGTTGAGGAAATCTAGGCTCAGAGAGTCAAAGTAACTTACACGAGGTCCCATAGCTAGCGCCAGATGCAGGGTTCAACCCGGGTGCGCGTTACTACAAACTGCATCTTGTTCCTGTACTGTAGTAATCTGTTATTATTGGTGCAGCAGGAATTCAAACGAATGACTTAGTGTGGGTTGGAATAATTAGGGAAATCATCATGGAATAGGACAAAAAATATATGAAATGGGGATAGGTAAGAGAGGATCAGGTCCTGGAGGCAGGTAGTCCTAAAATAATAATAATAATAATAATAATAATAGACTTTTACTATGTTCTAGGCACTATTTAAATTTTTAACTCATTTAGTTTTCACAACAACCATATGAGATAGGGACAGTTGTTATTTTCATTTTGTAGATGAGGAAACAGAGAGGTTAAGGCTCTTCCCTAAGGTCACACACAGTTAAGTCAGTGGTGGGATCCAGATGAGAACTCAGGCGGTCTGATTCCAGAGCCTGTGATGTGGGCCGGTGAGGAGGAAGGGGTAAATCAAGGGAGGCTGCTTCAGGGCTGAACACAGAGGAAGTAAACTAGGGGAAAGGTAGTTGTGCATAGGGACTGGGGGTGGGGGGATGGGGCTGGGGGATGCAGGCTTCAGCTGATGCCTGAGGCCTCAAGAGGGGTAAGGTCAAAGAGCAGTAGAGGTAGAGGAAGATCAGGAGGTGACGGAGCCTGAGGGGATGCTCACAGTTCCTGGTGGGAGGAGGAGGAGAGGTACTAGTCAGAGGTGGAGAGGAAGAGAATCTGGGTGGAACATCCCAGGAAGAAGAGCTTGGGGACGGGGCCGCCGTGTCGGTACACCAGAGACCTCTTGGATGTGGATAACTGCAAAGTAACTGGATCATCGACTGTCGTCTCCGTGCTTTTGTGTTTTGTGGTCTCTCTCCTTTCCTGCCAGTTTCTCCTTGCCTCTTATTATGTTGTGAGCACTTTTTCCTTTTTCATAAATCAAAGTGAAGAGGGATGATGATTGTATTCATCCTATCATCGCAAATGCCCTCTACTGTCGTGTACACTTCAGAAAAGGACTAGCTCCTCTTCTGAATTGGGTGGTGTGCAGGCGTGCTCATTTTGGTGAATGCTGTATCTGGTGTATTGCTGGATAAGGAGACCTTCTTGGTTCGTGTTAGAGTCTTCTAAATTCCAAGACACCGTGGAGCTAGAAGAGCTTGGGCACAAGTGACATTTTAAAACAAGCCGTGCCGTCCGCTTATCCGCAGTCTGAGAACCCGCAGTAGCACCTGTTGCCCACGCCCGCGTCCTTCAGCCTGGCTCTCAGGCCCTCCACACTTGCCCCCCTGACGCGGGTGCTCGCTTCTGTGACCACAGGGAGGTGTCCTCACTGTGCCTTCTAATGTCTTGTTCTTTCCTGTCCCTGTGCTGTCTCACTCTTCACCTGTGTAAACGGATGCTTCAGAGCCTGGGCAGTGTCGGTCTCAGCCCACTGAGTGCTGTCAGTTCTCCTCTCTGCTTCACTGACTTCTCCTGGACCTTAACATCTGTGGCGCGTGTTGTCAGTACTATGTATTTTAGCACTTGATAATTTCGATGCACGTGAAGTGGCAAAAAAAAATATGACTTCATAGTAAAAGGCCATAGTAGTTTTAGTTTTACTTTTACTTTTTTCTAAAACTTTTTAGTTTGACTTTTTACTTTTAGTTTTTCCTAAAGCTTTTAGTTTTACTTTTACTTTTTTCTAAAACTAAAAGTAGTTTTAGTTTTACTACAAACATCCCTGCGTAGGGGATTTAGGAGGCAAATTGGGGTTTGTGAATTTTGTTCCTTATTAAGGAATAATTCTCTTCCCAGCTGAAGGTCCACACATATAGCATAGCTTTTAAAAGGGATTTCTAGCTGCTAAGACTACGAAACCTACCTCATTATTCTCTGTTTCCTTTAATTTAGGGAACTTAAATGCTAGTATTGATTTTTGACACATATTGAGGATTGCCACTGTTTTTAGAGAGTCCATCAGAGTAATTAAAGAATTTCCATAAATAAGACATGAGTTGTTTTTTGACATTGCCAAAGAGCTCTTCTAATAGTAATCCTTATTATTTCAGACCTGATAGGCATTTGGTACAGCACAGAAATCCTGTTTAAATATAATAGGATGGTGAGTAGATTTGTTCCTGTTGTCCCAGAATTTCAGCTAACTCTCAAAGTGCAGGGCAGAGAACATTGACTACCCGACAGTCTAAGGATGTTGCCTGCAGCTCTAGGGGAGGAGGTTCCTACCTCCAGACCTGACCTACCTCATCAACCTCCACATCACTCTAGACAGTCGGCCTGGTGGACTTCCAGCTGGGGAACGCGATGCCTGTTTCCTCTTTTTGGTGACACCTGCAGTCCCTTTTTTTCCCTGGTCTCGGAGGAAAGCAGCTCATCCTCAACCCTCTATCACCTCTCACGGCCAGCCCCCAGTACTCCGCCCTGTCCCCAGTCTTCTTCATGTATTGGTTGGAGGTTGGGGTGAGAAGAGGTTGGTGAAAGTAAGGCTAACTGCTATTTCTTAGCAAGTCTTAAGGAAAGATGAGCCATGCCTGTTTGCTGGGTGCTCTCTGTAGAACAGTGGGTTCGTCAACTTTGTCTGCACATTTGAATGGTCTAAGGAGCCGATGCCCTGGTTGTACCCTCACCCAATTAAATCAAATCTCTTTGTGTGGGATGCCAGCATCAGTGGCTTTGAAAACTCCCCCAGTGATTCCAATAAGCAGCCAAGATTGAGAACCACTGCTGTAAAATGTGCTGTAAGTGGGTGAGGAGAAAGGGGGTAGGTATTTGGGGTCTCCTATTCTCCTGGTTTGGGTCTTAGCCACAATTCTTTGAAAGCAGCAAATATCTCACTCAGTGTCATGTTAAATAAACAAAAATAACATTAAGGTTGTGTTTTAATCTGTTTTGTAGCAGAATGCTATGTCTGCTGTTTTTTTTTTTTGGTGAACAAGATGAGCCCTGAGCTAACATTTGTTGCCAATCCTCCTCTTTTTGCTGAGGAAGACTGGCCCTAGGCTAACATCTGTGCCCATCTTCCTCTACATTGTATGGGACGCCGCCACAGCATGGCTTCATAAGCAGTGCTTAGGTCTGTGCCCGGGATCCGAACCTGTGGACCCCAGGCCGCCGAAATGAAGCACGTGAACTTAACCACTGTGCCACTGGGCTGGCCCCATGCTATGTCTACTTTTAAGTGAAGGATCAAGATTATACTTGGACTTTCTGAATGGTAAAATTTATAGTAAAGTGAAAAAAAGGTTAATATGTTTTATTTGCCATCTTAAAAGCTGCATTTTATTGTTGTTGTACAGTAAATGAGTTTCATCCCAGCAAGAGAGTCTGACTGAAGCAGTCTCACTGGGATGAGCTAATAGACGTTGCAATCACCAGGAGGCACATACAGCAAAGTCTTATTCTAGCAAGTTCACTGTGTTATTCTATTCTGACAGTTTCTCTTAAGAATCCAACTATTTCGTTAGGAATGCACGTGCTTCTTAAAGGCGCCATTTCATTGGCTTTCTCATTTCCTTGCTTTTCTCACAGCTCAAGAGATGGCTGCCCAGTGCGTCACGAAGGTGGAGCTGAATATTTCCTGTGATAATCTCTTGGATCTAGATGTAGGGTCAAAGTCGGACCCTTTGTGTGTGTTATTTTTGAATACAAGCGGCCAGCAGTGGTATGAGGTAATATTAAATACTGTAGGTGGAAAGCAGTCTGAATTGCTCTTTTGACAATATGAAGAGTTTATTAAAAATGTTAAAATAATACAACCATTCTCATCTGTTAATGTAGATGTTTGGGGGCAAGTTTGTCCTTGATTGTAGAATTTTTCATCCACATCTAGAAACTTCCTTTAGCTCTCGTGCCTGTATTTAGTTACATATGCTACACAGAAAAGTTAAAATCCAAGTGCACCATTGATCTGAAGAAACTTTTTTGTCTTGGGGTGGGTATAGGTTGACCGCACAGAAAGGATTAAGAATTGCTTGAATCCCAAATTTTCCAAGACATTTATTATTGATTACTACTTTGAAGTGGTTCAGAAGTTGAAATTTGGGATTTATGACATCGACAACAAAACCATTGAGCTGAGCGATGATGACTTCTTAGGAGAATGTGAATGTACCCTTGGACAAGTGAGTGTAAATAGTTGCTGTACTGTATTTTGGCTAAATTTTAACAAAAGAATTGAGTATTTTGGTAAGTGCTCATTAGTTTAATTTTTAAAGTTGAAAAACATGTAATCACTTTAAAGACCGAGTTCATATATTAGTATGGTTGTCTTGAACATAATAGAATTTATCTAATTTTTCATAAGGGCAGGGATCATGTGTTTTTGGCAAAGCCTATTAATTCTTTTGAGTTAGGGGTGTTTCATTCGGCATTTCGATAAATAGTACCATTGCTCTAGCTGCTTTGTGTGCTGGTCACAGATTTCAATACAGTGTTCTTATTTAAGTCATAAATGCTGTCTGAGTAACAGTGACTTCTCTGATGTTCTGACCAGCATGACTGGTACCTCTTGACCCCCAATGCCCCAACACCATCCCTTTACCTGGCTTGCTCCTCCTGAACCTTAGATACATCAGTTTAAACCTTACTCTTGCTTGCAAGCCTTCTCTGAGCCCCGCAGTAGTTTGGAGACTCACTTGATGCTCTCTCCTGCCCCTCTACCTTAACATTCACCATATTTTATTGCAATTGCCTAATTTGCTGTCTTTCCAGTGTGTGACAAGTTGGGTCAGGGTAGGGTGTGTCTGTGGGCGCAACCATTTTGCTCCTAGCTCAGAGTCTGACTTCTAAGGAGAGATCACCACCGTTTGTAGTAGAATGGGGAAGGCTTTAGGAGGGAGGAGTCATCTTTTTTCATTGGTGACATGTATTGCTCAAGTTTGTCCTGTATGAGTTTATCTCTCAGTGTTGAGTTATTTGCGGATCACGGTATTTCCCATGACTCAAGGACAACCTGGAGCTGATCAGTGTTCTACAGCCTTGATAAATAGTCTCAAAGAGAAAAATCAAAGAAGTATTTATTTTTTGGAAAAAAATCACAGTGTGGCTAAAATTATAATGAATTTGAGAGCTATATTTGTTTGAAAGTGCCTAGGTCTGCTCTATTATTTTACTCAAAATGATATTTTTGTGGGGATCATATATTGAAGTTATGTGTCAATTGAAAAGTCAAATCCCATTTGCTGAGTGTTCTGAGGCCCACCTTCTACCTCCCGGGGTTTCAGCTCAGTGACTGGTGTATGCAGTGGGAATGTGGCCCTCTTTTTCCATTACCAGGAAGAAGTTAAATGTTGAAGTAGTTGATAAAGAAGCTAGTGGTGGGAGATTGTATCGGCCAGGACTGGCCCCTCAGGAATCTTTGCTAGTGAGTTTTAAATGTGTAGATGGCTTTTATAATCTCTGTATCTTTAAGGAAGGAACTTAATGTTTGCATTTCTAATGACTTTTGAACTTTGTACTCAACCTTTTTTTGAAACCATTCAGTTTAGAAATTCACATGTGGAAGTGAAATAGCTCTTTGTAACATCGCTTTCCAATTTTAACAGATTGTTTCCAGTAAGAAGCTAACTCGACCATTGGTGCTTAAAAATGGCAGACCTGCGGGGAAAGGGAGCATTACGGTAACAATAAAATATTTGTCTTTTGCCTCAAAAGATTTAGCATAATTGGACATGCTGAAACCGTACATTTCAGACACATATTCTACAGCCAGCCTTTGTCATGTGATCCTGAATCTTGCCCTCCATCCACTCTTGCCTTATGGTGATCACAAATGGGAAATGTGTTGTCCCAAAAAAGAAAGAAAAATGCAGTGTGGGAATCCCTTCTTTGAGTTTTTTTACATTGCCCATAGCTCAGGGGTACCTCGGTGATGCTTGCCTCTCCCCTGAGGAAGGGCAAATTCCCAAGTTAGAGAGAAACTCTTTAATCATCTGAATGGATCAGTTTGGCTCTCTGCGAAGCAAATGTTGTCCCCCCAACATGACAGAAACTTTCCATAATGGATTTTAGTCCAGATGGATCTTGTGTTCTGACATGGCCTTTGAACCTCTCGACTCCTAACCATCCTTTGTGCTTGCACTCTGCTGCTCCTGTCCTCCTACCCGTTGCTGATGGCCTGGCCCTGGGCAAATGCATATATGCTTCATCCTATTTTAGATTCCAAATTATATAGTGCCACGCTCTCAAATATCTTATCTTCTAGAGTTTCTGTCCAGGTCATCACTGCCTGGAGCGATAGTTTTCTAACTTGAGCTCTGTCTGAGAATGGAAGGCTGGCTCCCTGAGGAAGCCACGTTTGAGGGTTATTGTGATTATCAAACGCGTTTCTCTGAGCAGCTGCTCTCCTCTAGTTTAAATTTCCTGAGGCATGAGAGTGTTCAGTCAGTTGGGGGTGTTGACTTCTGTGGGACAGAGAACATTATCAGTGGTTAGTTTTATAGCCTGGAATTTGTTTTTAAGTAGAATAAGTCTTCTGGTTACACTGGATGAAAAGCATTGGTCTAATATTTCCATTTATAGTGTCTCTAGGTGTGATTTACTCATGCTTCTCAGTGTTTGGAGAACTTTAGCTAGTGTTGTGCAGTCTTCCAGGGCTTTGATTTTTCACTGAAATGGAGAAGATCCAGTTTGGGCAACAACATTTGAAAAGGAAGTTGCATAATGCAGACTAGGCATATTTGGGGAAAATATTTCTTTTGTATGCATAAAAGAAATAATGATAAATATTTCTTAATGGTACCATTTTGTTATTAAACATTTAGAATTCATTTATAGTTTATAAACTTTATATATTTTAGATAACAGAATAAATCAATACTCCCTAATTATGTCAGAATCCCTAAAAATGTATTTTCTTTCACTTACCTTATGTACTCATAGATTTCAGCTGAAGAAATAAAGGATAACAGAGTGGTCTTGTTTGAAATGGAAGCAAGAAAACTGGATAATAAGGTGGGTGGTGATGCAGATTTCAACAAGGATCTCATGTTTTGCCTCACATTGATTCCTTTTGAGAAAATAATAGTGCAATTAATATTATGAACTCCATCATCTGAGCATCACTTAGAGTATTAGTTACTTCCAAATGCTGCTTTTCTGTGCGTGTGTGTTTAAGCAGAACCCATTTCTCTTTATCTCTTTCCTCTAGATGTAATGAAAGGGTTTGTCTAGCCTAAAAGAGGAGTTAATATAAGCATTAATTTTGTTGTAAAAGACATTTGCGAGAGTATAGTTGGATTTCCTTAAGGAAAAAAGCAAAAATTCCATGCTTTATTAACTACAGATTTTCCTTTTCATTCAAAAGTCAATATTTTTTTATGATGGATAAGTACCAATACATAACAACACAACAATTTAGTATATAGCATGGATTAGAATAATTCTTTGAGTGATCTTTGTACTTAATTCTATAATCCACTCAATATTTTTCATCACTTGCATTTACCTTACAATTCAGTTTGCAAACAGACCGGTAGCCAGGGACCTTTTTTCATTTTGGAAAAATTTAAACATATACAAAAATAGAATAGTATTTTAAAAAAAATTTCATGTCCCCGTCACCCATCTTCAGCAGTTATAACTCATGACCAATTTTGTTTCATCTCTACCCCATCTACTTTCTCTCCTCCCAGACATAATATCATTTCATTTGTAAATATTTTGGTGTCTCTCTAAAGACTCTTTAAAAAATATAATTGGTCAATATGTTTCTTATATCTTTTTTAATCTATAAATTCCCTCCTTCTTTACTTCTTTCCTCCCTCCCTCACTCCCTCCCTCCTTTCCTCCTTCTCTCCCTCCTTCCCATCCATCCATTCATCCATCCCTCTGCCCATGGAATTTATTCCGTAGAGAAACTGGCTGCTTTGTCCTGTAGAAGCTTCTATACTATGTATATGGCTGCTTAAACCCCTGTGGTGTCATTTAACATGTTCCTCTCTCCACCTTTATTTCCTGATTTCTGTAAGCTGGTAATTGAATCTAGAGTTATGATCTGATGGTATTTTGAATTGTTGGTAAGACAGTTCCATAGGGGTTGGCGTGTAATTCCATCAGGAGGCTCATATTATTGAGTTTTATCTTTTTGGGTTGTTAGTGATCGTTGATCATAACTACTTAGATATATTGTTTTAATAAGAGTATAAAATAGTGATAGTCTCATGCTATCATTACTCCTCCATTTAGTAGTGAGAATACTTCTATAAAGAGAAGTATTCTTCTCTACATTAGGTATTTATTTTGAGGTACAGTCTGTACAGAAAAGGCAAGTTAAAATATTTGATTTTTTCCCCCTGGATTTATCATTTTTCAGAATAATTTGGTTCCCCACCATCCTCTAAATGTGACCAATGAGGGTTTTTTGTTTGTTGTTTTTTGTTTTTAGTATCACTATCAGTTAACTCCTGTTAATGCTGAAGGTCTTCCAGCTTTGGCCTGTGGGAACTTCTTTAAGTTTGTTCCTGAGACCGTTTGTGACAACCCCAGGGGTCTTTGGGTAGCTTGCTTGTTCTGTGGCATGGCAAATGTTCCAGGCTTATTTTATCTAATTTCTGTCCCAGATTGGCAGATTAAAAGGAACCTTACTACATTTTAGTGGGAATTGGTATTTAGAGACCATATTCTGGTACTAGGGGTGCTTACTCTTTATTGATTATTGCTGCTCATTGTTTCTAGAACTTTTCAGTAAACAGATATAGGAAAGACTTTTATTTAAGAAAAAATAAATCATAAATTTACGTAACTATTTCCTATTCAGTTATAGAATTACAGGGCCTTATGTCTTTAATTCTATATTTATACCTCTTTTCTCTTATGCTGAAAATCTTAGTTCCTAAAAATATTAACATAATTGCTTATCTGTTTTGTCTTATATAAAGTCTAATAGTTTCATAATAAAAATATCCATATTATAATTAAAATATTTTTACTGAAAACAGTTTGAGCTTTCTTTGAAGTTCTTTTTGTCTCTAGGGTTATATATTGCAGTCGGGATATACAGTCAAATTCTTGTGTTTTAAAGAAATAGTTCTCTGAGTGGTTATGCTGTCACATTGACACAGTTGAATTTTGCTTTTGATATTTAGGGATTGCTTTTTTAAAAAACATTTTGAGTTAATTTTTTTTATAATCATATAAAAGATTTACATGGTTCCAAAGCCAAATCTACAAAACAAGGTATGTTCAAGAAATTTAACTTCTTTCCCTCTCCATTCTATGTTTTATACTCTTTCATCACTGTAGGTAATAATTTTTTTAAACTTATATTTTAGAGTTTAATTTTTCAATTTCCTAAAATATCTAAGGTTTTTTTGTGTGTGTCTGTGTATATGTATATATCCATATGTGTATATTTGTGTCTGTATGTATATACACATGTATACACATATGTGTATATGTATCTAGATAGATATGTGTGTATGTGTGTGTTTCTACTTATATTCCCCACCCGCAGCCCTTGGGTAAGTGTACCATACTATATGCACACTTTCTTCCACCTTGATTTTTTCCCTACCATGCTCTGGAGGTCTGAGTCAGGGACTTTAAATTCTTATTTTAGTTCTACTACTGACAACTAATGAACTTTCAAACAAGATCTGTCTTCTGACCTTCAAAATGGTAATAATGATATTCTGCCTTTCTCATAGGTTTATTTCTAAGATAAGTCAGACGGTGTGTTAATGTGTTTTTGGAAAGTTAACTTCTCTATGTATAATGCTGTTATTAGTTTTATAAAATGAGGCATAGAGAGACCTATTACATTACTTAAAATTCTTTTTAGAGATAAGGTTAAATTTTAAAAGTTCTGCGTAGTCTTTGTGTTTATATTTTTTACTGTACCAAATATATTACTTGCTTGACATTAAACTATTGAGAAGGGAAATAATATTATCTTAGTTCTTAATTTAATACTGAGGTTAATGTGGGACTCAAAAAGTCTTCAGTTCAGGGATATAGCTGCATATATTACTGTGGAGTTAACAGGTGTTCTTTCATTTTGACAAATAATAAGTAATTATTCTAAGGAGAATGGAAATTTCAAAATGAAGATGACAATGAGAAAATAAAACCATCCACAATCTCACTCCTCGAGTTTAACTTCTGGGAGTAATTTGTACATCCTTCCAGATTTTGTCTCTCTGTGTAAGTGTGTGTGTGTGTGTGTGTGTTTGTGTTGAGGGTGACCATAAGGGTGTTTTTGAGCACTCAGTGTGCTTGAGCATTGTACAGGAGTGCTATGGTGAATTACAGAGGAAAAAGAAGACGTACTTTGTGCCCTTGAAGTACCTCTGCTGTGCACTGCACACATTTACCTCCGCTCCCTATGTGTGTAAAGAAATGTGTGGAATTGGTGAAAGAGTATTGACTATAGAAAGATAAGATATGAAGTCAAGACTCAGATTCATCAATTAATTAGATATGTAATCTTGGCAAAGTCACTGAACCCCTCTGAATCCATTTGATCACTGATAACTGCTCTGTCCCTCACAGAATTAGTGTGGCTAGTGTCTAGAGTATCTTTTATATAGAACTTCTCAGTGCTACTTGAATGAATAGTGTGAATAATGAAAACAAGCCCAAAACATATTTTATTGATTATGAATCCTGTCAATCAGTATATTTTAAAGCCATCATGTTTTCTGAGAAGTAACGGTGTGATACACAGGATAATGAGCATTTATCACAAATGCCTTAGGAGTTCTAGTAGACTGCGGCAACCTTATGGGTGTGCGAGGAAGGTGGTGGGATTGGTATTTACTACTGTACTGTGCTGTATATATCTGTACTGTGGAGTTAGATCAGGTATCGTTAACATGTAACATGTATAAAGTGTGGTTTCAGAGGAGAATAATGACTTTTTTTTTGTGACATAGGATCTGTTTGGAAAGTCAGATCCATACCTGGAATTCCACAAGCAGACATCTGATGGAAACTGGCTAATGGTTCATCGAACAGAGGTGAGTATCAGAATTTGAAAAGTAGAGTTGAGGTTTCCTTTAGAATTGTGGTAATCTGAATTTAAAAAAATTATATATTTATAAAAATATCAATCTGAGTTCAGACATATATAGCCAGAGACACAGGGTCAACATGCTCATTTTTATTTTCTTTTAATGAGGAGGGGCTTCCATGCTTAAATATTAGTAAAGGTTTTATTTTGAAAAATTTATAACCCTATAAAAAAACACTAAGGTGTCTACCTGCATATTCTTCACCTGTATTCACCAACTGGTCATACCTGCACATGTGTGTTTTCTCTCTCTCCCTCATGTACTCACACACACAGACGCACATATGCACATACACGCACATGCACACGTATACTTCTCTTTTGCAAAACCATCCTAGTGTGGGCGGCAGACATCATGACTCTTTGGTTTTAAATCCTACGGCAGGTATTTCTCAAGAACAAGGGCATTCTCCTGCACAGCCACACCTGAGAGAATTAATACTGATTTAGTAACATCATCCACTGTACTATTCATCTTCAGATTTCCCCAGTTGTCCCATACATGGTTTATATATATATATATTGTGTTTTGTTTTGTCCAAGATCAATTCAAGTTTCACATTTTGCATTTGGCTATTATGTTCCCAATATAAGACCCTTCTCCGTACCTCCCTTATACCCTTCATGCCATTGAATCTCTTGAATAATCAAGATCAGTGTGTCCAACATTCCGGAGTGTTCTGTTTCCTCACAGTCAGATCCGGATCAAACATTTCCATCAAGAACATTGTGTGTGTACCTTACTCTGCGTCATCAGGGGACCCATGTGTCAGCCTGCCCAGTATTGTTGATGCCAGCCTTGGCCACTTGGTCAAGCTGGGGACCACCAGATCTCGCCATGATAAAGTCCCATGTTTTTTCTTTGTAATTAATAAATGATCTGTGGTGTGATGCTTTGAGACTGCACGAATAACCTGTTCTCCAGCATTTCACCCACTGGTTTTAGCATCTATTGATGATCCATGCATGAGTCCATTATTATATTGGAGGTTATAACATAATGACTTTTTTTCTGAATCTTTCATCCCTTTATATATAGTAGCAGATACTCCTCTTTTATCTCTCCTCTCTCACTTTCTCTTTTCTTGTTTTTAGTATCATTGTAGACTTATGGATTGTTATAACACAGTGTATTTGTTGTGTTATAATTCATTAGTGTCACTATTTTTGCTGCTCAAATTAATCCAAATCTGACCAGGGGAGAGTGCCTTCACATGGCTCCTAGGTTCTTTTAACATGGCCTCATTAGTCTTTAAGCATTCTCTTATTTAGTGTTAAAGTCTGTTCTCAGTTCACTTTGTGCTTACCCTGTCCCAGGTCTGGAATGAGCGATTTCTCTTAAGGAACGCTGTTCCTTTAGGAGGGTAGTAGTATCTGGACACCAAGACCTGAGTGCTGGGTGTCCTCCTTGCTGCTGGGATGTCAGTGCATTTAGGCCTTTTCAGTGGACACAGCTGGGAAACGTGCATTTGTGTATATCTGTTTATTATGTGCATATATATGTATATTTCTCAAATTTTAAATCATGAATTTAGACTATTTCTGCAGTTCAAGTCCAACTCCGCAAGGTTCTTCCACATCCTTTCTTATTCCATATTTGAATCTTCTGTGTCCTGCAGTGAAAACCCTGGTTTCCAACAAAATCAATAATCTGTAGTTTCTAAGTGTACCTTGTAATGGGTAGATATATTTTTCAAATAATTTTTTTCTTTACCCAGAGTGTATCACAACTAGACAATGCACCACAGTTTCATGTAGTTTTATAAAATTGTTGTAGCTGGTTTTTCATTGAGAAGGTTGACTGGGTGAGGAGGTGAAGGCTGGTTGGTGAGAGTGTAGCCAGAATCTCGGAAAGGCAAGAGCAAAGTGTGAATGAACGCTTTTCTGACTGGTCTTTGAATCTTCATTTTTGTAGGTTATTAAAAACAACTTGAATCCTGTTTGGAGGCCTTTTAAAATCTCTCTTAACTCCCTGTGCTATGGAGATATGGACAAAACTATTAAGGTAATTTGAAATAATATATCTGTTATATATACACATATACTTGTTTTATAAAACTGATTGATTAGATGCTATTTAAAGAAAGTAAGGGAGGTAATAGATATCTGTAGGACTGAATTTTATTTAGATTTAGGAATACTAAAGCAGAAATGTCTCTGGTAAGGAAATAGTCTGATCTGTTAACCTAAAGCTTAATCAAATGTTGTGATCTTTATTTTACTCTTCATTTTTTAAAATAAAATATTCAATTTAAATCTTTCTTTTAAAAAGATCCCTTTGCTCTGTGAATAGGAGCCTTGAACTACACGCTGCCTTGGGTGTGTCCCTTGCAGATGAAAGTGGCCGTCACTCTAAGACCCCGAGCCGCCTCCTTCCCTCAGCAGCAGAGATCCATGGCGGCATCTTCCCTCGCTTATGTTCAGAGCGAGATATAATTCACTGAAACTTGTAGATGGCTTTAGTTTTAGAGTCAGGAAAGCAGAGTGAGAACAGGGAGTAGCAGCAAATATCTAAGAATTTTTTTTAATGTTTTCATTCATACTTTATTATTAAAAAATATATATTTTTTTTTTTGTGAGGAAGATCAGCCCTGAGCTAACATCCGTGCTAATCCTCCTCTTTTTGCTGAGGAAGACCGGCTCTGAGCTAACATCTATTGCCAATTCTCTTCCCTTTTTTTTTCCCCCAAAACCCCAGTAGATAGTTGTATGTCATAGCTGCACATCCTTCTAGTTGCTGTATATGGGACATGGCCTCAGCATGGCCGGAGAAGCGGTGCGTAGGTGCACGCTCGGGATCCGAACCCGGGCCGCCAGTAGCAGAGCGAGCGCACTTAACCACTAAGCCACCGGGCTGGCCCAAAAATATGTTATTTTTGAGACACTTTATACTAGAGTCACTTTACAAAAGATTCCAGATAGAAGCCTTTTCTTGTGTTTCAATGTCAGCAAACGGAGGTGGGTTTTTCATTTGTTTGTTTGTTTGTTTTTTTCTTTCTGGTAATTAATATGGTGAAAACAGGAAAAGTGGTGTTGTGGAACAAACATAGGACTTAGAGTCAGACCAGAGTCCAGTCGTGACTTAGGCCTTGAACCAGCTCAGGGATCTTGGGCAGGTCATCTAACGTCTTCGCTAATATAATAGAGAAAATAATGTCTATATTACAAAAAAAAGTAAGGATTAAATTAGTGACAGTGAAAATTTTATAAACTGTTAAACACAGTACAGATGTTGTTATTGTTGAAAACTGCTTCGTTTCTTAGATCCATGAAAATTTGCCCTCAGTTTGCAGGGTACTTTAAAAATCAATATGGGTATGATTTGTGTGGTATTTCAAACAGCAGTGAAAATCTAGGTAAAAATAAGTAGTTGAAAAGTAGCTTTAAAAATTACTTTCTATTGTTGTATTAAATCTAGAACTTTTGCTTTTCACATTAAAAATAGTAAGTTGAAGCTTTATTAGATCTGAGATGCAGGAAAGGCTGTGGAAAAAATGCCTAAACCATAACTATTTGATTGTTGTAATAATATGTTAACAATGAAACAATGTTTTTTAAACTTTTTTTGCACACAGTGGCATGCTTACAGGGCTATTTTATTATAGTAAGTAAACTGCTTTTCTGAAGCTTTCTCTGATGAACGTCTTCCATTCTTAAAAGTTTCTCTGTGTTAACCGTACACAACTTGGTTTGCCAAATCATCACTGTCTTTATTTCTGTAGTTCTGTATTTCTTTGTGGTTTCAGAAAGTCATACATCTGTGATTCTCTTGGTGTTTGGAAACTGCTTAGAGGTGTAGTAAAGGTTATAGAGCAGAGAATAGAGTCAGAACCATCAGTGGTTTCTTTGCTGCAGTGTGAACGTGCCAATGTTACCACTCTAGCATGTACTGTCATTTTCATAAGATCGAGTGAATAAGAGAAATAATCGTGCATGCTGCCACCTTGCCTAAAATGGGAATGCATTAGTGAATGTAGTATTGTGTGGTGTGTGCATTCTTTTACATATATACATAGGCACATATGTATATATGCATGTATTTCAATTTCACAAACACTGCTGATACTGTTGTTCAAAACAGCCAATCATACTAGGTTTTGAATTCTTGAAAAGAGAAATTAAATGACATGTATCGTTATATCATTTACCTCAAACTGTAGCTGAACATATGCCAGTGTTATAAATGTCACATCTTTCTTTAGCACTAAACATTTGCCTTCAATGGGGCAAGAGTGAGCTTTTCCTATATATTTATTATGGTAAATTATCAGAAATTACAATTAAAAATATTTATACATTTCCTGAAGTTTCAGGCAGTCTATATATACGAACAGTTTTAGGTCTTCATAAACTTTGTTTAAATAAAATCTTAGCCTTATCAAAGTTTGATCTTGTCTTAGATATAAAGTGGAGTTTCCTGAATGCAAACCTAAAATGTAGAGTCCTGTTTTCCATAATTTTTTTTTTTTTGGTGAGGAAGATCAGCCCTGAGCTAACATCTGCCAGTCCTCCTCTTTTTTTGCTGAGGAAGACTGGCCCTGAGCTAACATCCGTGCCCATCTTCCTCTACTTTATATGGGACGCTGCCACAGCATGGCTTGACAAGCGGTGCGTTGGTGCACGCTGGGGATCCGAACCGGCGAACCCCGGGCCGCCGCAGTGGAGCGCATGCGCTTAACTGCTTGCACCACCAGGCCGGCCCCCCATTTTCCATAATTTAAAAAAATCTATTAAGAAGTGAAATCATTAAAATATTAAGATTGTTTTCAGCTTTATCTTGATTTTACTTCCTATAGAAAAAAATTAGTACGAAAATTAATTTTCTTTTCCTCTGACACTTTGAAGAGTCAGATAAAGGGGTTTTGGTTTAAAAATTGAATAGCAAATATATAGGGCAAGAGTCAAACTGTCAGAATTGGCCAGAGACTGAAGTGCTTGCAACAAAGAAAAACCCTTATTGTTACTCAAAATTGCAATTCTGCACTTTGTTTTTATTAATTGATTGATTTATTTTTAGTCTTCCTGAATAATAATGAAAATATCAGTAAGGCATGAAAGACTTCTGTTATGATAAACGCTCAGTTCACTTTTCACAGAACTGAGAAGGAAGGCAATCACGTTGCCAGGTGAACCTAAATAAACCCTGAGCATTCCAGCTTGGCGGTTAATTTGGGCGGTTAATCTGACTTTGTAAAGGACACCCTGTTGGCATAGGGTAAATGCAAAATGCTTCTCAGTTACAGGCTTTTGTTTTAAATCATAAACTCTAGGAGGATTCAGAAGTGTCCTTAGCACAGCCTTACTTTACCTGTGTTGGTTACCACGCAAGACATACCATCTTCTAAGACTGTTTAATTCCTCTGCCTACCTCACAAGGCTAAGCAGATAATGCATGCACTGTACATAATAAATGTTTGCAGGAATGAAATCATCTGTTCTGACATTATAAAGCACTATAAAAACATTGGTTATTCAGTGATCACAATGCACTTCTCTGCTGGCTAACAGTTCACACCACCTTAATTGTCTCCTTGCAATGAATGTTCAGGTATTCTTGTGAATATTTACTCTCTGGCTACACCTGTCAACTTGGCACAAAGCTCCATTCAAATCAAATACCCTCAGCTCTCTTCTGTCTGCTTTAAGAAGGAGCGAGAAGAGAGCCAGAGCTGAGACTAGAATTCACCTTGTCTTACGTGGAAATAGAGTAGATATGACCCAGTATAGACACTTCCTCGGTGGATTAAGTACTCTTTTCCTGGAATTTTCTTTTTCATCGTTAGAGTTGTGATCCTTAGAAAAGTGCAAATCTGACTTCATCCTCACTCCCGAGACAAGCCTAGCCTTACCAGATGGCAGCTAATGAAATCCATTTTCCATCATTTTAAATCATCTAGAATTTAATTACACAGTTTTTAGCTGCCGGGGATACTGGGCTTCCTTTCTTCCTCCAGATAGTGCCTTTTAGCCGTTTTACAGTGATAACAAGGTAAGGGAGTGGATGAGAAAGAAGGTGTAGCTCCATTTTGATTTCACCAGCACCTCCAAAGGGCATGCAAGAGGAACTGGAAACTGCTTCATGTGGAACTTAAACAGTATCCGTGTTTTGCCTCTGCCTGTGGTCTGTCCTGGAACCCGTTCCAAGGATAGGTCGTTTTCAGTATTGCTCCTCCGGGAAGGTAGTTCCTGCTTCTCCATCCAAGTAGGACTGCATAGTAAACATTTTCACTCATTTTAGTTAAAAGGGCACTCCTTGGTAAGTCCCATTTATTGCAACCAATGCTTTTTAACAAAATTATGTTGATTTTTATGTATTTTTATTATACCTAATTCTAGGTAGAGTGCTATGATTATGATAATGATGGGTCACATGATCTCATTGGAACATTTCAAACTACCATGACGAAACTGAAGGAAGCCTCCAGAAACTCGCCTGTGAGTCGCCTCTTTGTCATTTCAATGTACTTTACAGTTTGGCCATATATTTGTTATTTCATGTTTTTCCTTGGTAGAGCAAACAGTTTACCGTGTTTTTACGCTATATTACATAATACTCTGAAATCTGTGGACTGTATTTGTTTAGTAATTGGATGATCCAGAATTTATACTTGGGCTGTGAGTTTACGTTTGTATTTAGAGGTTTGGTGTCCTTGGGCTTCAGGCAGCGTATATTGTTTGATTGAAAATCCTTAGTTTGAAAGCTTTTGGCGTTTCATTGGTCACAATAATTAATATCTACAACACTAGACAAATACCTGGGCTTGAATTGTGTATGTTTATGCTCCTTTCGACAGGCTTTTCCAGTCTGCCTCTGGCTCTTCTCTCTGCCCTGTCCTCACCCAAAGGCAGCATAAAAGCGTAGTTACGGTACTGTAAATTATGGAAGAGTCAGCTGCTGTCTAATGGCACTAATTTGTTAAGATTGTTTGTCTGCCAGTTTATTATTTGGCATCCTGATGTATTTCTAAGAGTGCTTCTGAAACTTTTCTGTCTCTAAGCCAAAGTGGCTAAAAACTATTCCTGGTCATTTTATAAGTAAAACTTGTAAATTGCTTCCATCTTATTTACCTTTCTAGTGTGAATGAGTTGTTAATTCTCTTTATAGCTTACTTAGAATAATATGAATTGTTTATCACCTGCTTAGAGACCTGAATAATGCTCATATAGCCTTTGCTTTTGACAGTACAAACGTGGGGTTTAAGAGGTGAGAGGTTATGGTCGGGTGAGAAGATCTTTTATATTTAGTCATGTAAGTGAGGTGACCTAGAAGATGCTGATAGTTTTAGATCAAAACTTAAATACTAAATGAATAAATAAAACTTATGAGCCATTTGATTTAAATAATTGGGAGAAGTGAGTTTTAAACAAACCTAGTGGGACTAGAATTCTCTGCAGGTCACGCAGAGATCTCCAGTCCTGTCCCTGCTCCCTAGTCACAAAGCCCAGGGATTGGAAGTGGCCTGTACAGAAATGCTTTGTGTGAAGAGGGAAAGGCTTTTCAAATCACACCTAACGGTTTAAATGCAAAGATTCAATTGGCTTTGAGTTAACAATCTTTGAATTCAAACAGCAGCAAAATTCAGCTGTAAATAGTCTATTTAAAGAATTTTTTTTAAAAGGCATAACTAATGGAAAATGGTGAAAATCTGAACACTGCAAATAAAGCAAGCTACCTAAAAGAACCAAATATGAGGAGCTGTCTAGATTGTTGCTTCCCTGATTTCACTTTGTCGTTATTTTCCAGAATTGGTAATGATTTTGGAAGATAGTGAACTAACAACTAACTGTATTGTACTTTATGATCATGTCAAGTTTTCCTGAATCCAGCTAACTTGATCCTCCCCTCCCACGTGACAGAATGAGGCTTGTCATGTTACTGTGGTGACAGGGTTTACCCACGCTGGTTCTTCAGAGACAGGGCTGTCTCTCACCGTCTCTGGTTCTCAGTGTCTAGAGCAGTGCCTGCCACCTGGTAGACACTTTGTAAATGTGTGAATAAGTGAAGTGAAGTGATATAACCTTTTACCAATGAAAAGTCTGTTCAGGGCACTTCTGCATCTCAAACATTCAATAATTAATATTCATGATGGTGACTAAGACTCTGGCAGGGCCTGAACCATCAAGGAATTTGTTTAACATAATTTTCTTTTGTATCACTGTATCAAATGTACTTTTCAGTGTTTGATTCTTAGACAATTAGTAATCACTCTGTCTAAAGTACCTAAGTTGCTTTCTGTTAACCAGAAGAGGTGACTTATCAGGTATTCATTGAGTATCTCTTATATTCTTATTAGGTAAGACAGAGGAAATTGAAATGTATAATTTGGAGGTGATTATACACTAGCTATGAAAAAAAACTAATGAAATGAAACAATTGAGAATAATTAAAAGTGTGTAACTAAATTTTATATGGTTGTAGAAGTTTAAGGAGATGGGTGGGGGTCAGAGAAGACCAGACAGTAGCTCATGTTTTAGAGGAGTATGACTTGAGCCCAGCCTTACAGACGGACAGGTGGGTCGGAGGTGGAAAGGAAGCCCCTTCTGTTTGGGGGAAGGAACTATACTAAGGACAAGATGTAAGATACTAGATTTGTTTCTAACACATACTTGCAGCGGAAAGAGAGGATCTTTGCTGCGTATTTTGTCATAGAGTTGGGCTTCATATATTTCTGTTTTCTGACAGTAGGTTTTTTCCTTCTTTTCTAAGCAGCATATCTTTGTTTTTTGTGAAGTAACAACTAGGAATAATATTTTATTTCCTTTATTGTAAAGGAGAAAGATTACTTGGAGCATTTGCAAGGGAATTTATCCTTAGAAACTATTTTAAATGGTATACAATTTTAGGAGTGCCTTTTGGAAATTTCAGTGATAAATATTTCACATACTTAACATATTATGTAATTGTTTGAGACTTATATTTTGCAACAGACCTACATTAGTAGGTGGTTTGATTCCAAGAGAAAAAAGTCATTCATTTAAATGCACACTGGCATTTCTAATATTGATAGTAAGAGTTAACATTTTGTCTCCTTCCTACAGATTGAATTTGAATGCATAAATGAAAAAAAGAGGCAAAAGAAGAAAAACTACAAGAATTCAGGTGTTATCAGTGTGAAGCAGTGTGAGGTTAGTTGATTTCGACCATTTGTAGTGTGATGAGACCATATTTCAAGTTCTTACATCAATGTGGTATGTATCAAACAAACACTTGAATTGGAGGCAGTTGAAAATCACATGAGCATCTGGAAATCTTTCAAGTAACTTTGCTTCCAAAGTTTGACAACTTTTTAGCAAAGGACAAAGAATATTAAAGTTTTTCATCATCTTAGGAAACGTGAGGCATCGTGGTATTTTCCCAGTGCATTAGTGGAAATGGCCTGACCCACTGCATCTATCCTGGCCGTAATTTCAAGATGAGGTGTTATGAGTGGAGGAAAAAATCCAAGAGATTTCTTACAACAACGTGGGGGTTTTTGTTTTTGTTTTTTTTTAAATTTTGATTACTATACTTATTAAAGCTCCCAGCATAATAGACTTATTACTAGTAGTAGTGTCTTAAAACTTAAAGTGAGTCTGTTTCATCTTTGGCCATTAAAATTCTAGTCTTAACATTGCTATAATTGTCTTGAAGTACAGTCTTACAGATTCATGGCATGTAGGGGCAGTGGTGCCTTAAACTCAAATGCAGGAGTTGTTTCCACACGTTAATGTCATGTTCTGTTCAGCCTATAAACTGTTAAAAATATATGCCAGCGAGCTTTTTGTTTCTCTCGTATAGTAGGAGAGTTTTAATTTTAACAGTTTGCTATTTGATTTTAGATTACGGTGGAATGTACATTCCTTGACTATATCATGGGAGGATGTCAGCTGAATTTTACTGTAAGTAACACAGCGAATTCCTCAAAGTAGGCTGTCACATGTCGCTTTCTCCTTCCATTTTGCAGTGTTCTTTCTTTTCCTGCAAAACCGACTTTGCGATGACGCTTACACCATCTGTTTAGCGTAGTCTCCTCGGACAGGTCCTCTAGGTTTGTCACGAAGCTTTCGGCTTTGTTGATGAGATCTGTTCCTTCTGACAGAAGGCAGATATGTATGAGCCAGTGGTGATCCTGCAGTAATTTAAATAATAGAAAGCATTAGTTAAACAAACATACAAAAAGCAAGCCTTACGTCTCAAGTCATGGGTGCAGTCATTCATAACTCAAGGCGTCTAGAAACATAGGAATAGCAGGTTGTTTCGTGCTGAAGCTTTACTCGTTAGTCATCTGTGGAAGCACCAGGAGGCTCAGGTATTTCTGAGGAAATGGGGTGAATGTGTCTCGTCTCCTGAGGTTTTCCTGGACAGCAAGCATGGGGGTCCCTGCCTTCTCCTTGGTAAGGGCTGCGATCGTTATTTGCAGGTGGGAGTGGACTTCACTGGCTCCAATGGTGACCCCAGGTCTCCTGACTCCCTGCATTACATCAGTCCCAATGGAGTTAATGAGTATCTGACCGCCATCTGGTCCGTGGGACAGGTCATCCAGGATTACGATGCGTGAGTATGCCTGACATACTTGTTTCATAACTTCATCTGCTAGCGCTCTGGTATGGTTGGTGGGGATAAGGCTGCTGGGGGCAGTAGCTATGTCCCCAAAATTTCTCTTATCTTTTCCGTTTTTCTCTTTGTGACAGTCTTCATGTTTACCTTTGACCTCTGATCTCTGGCTGTGACCAGTTACAATGCATTGTGTGTAGCTTGCTTATTTAACAGCTGACTGAAGTCAGCAAGGCTCTTGTTTCTTTGATCTAGTTTCCTTGGGGTTTACTCATTAGAGTTAAGTTATCTGTGCAATTGAGTCTAGACAACATGTTGTAAACACTCCTAAGCACTATTTCTTAACACATTTATTTTCTTGGCAGCCATTGTCAAATTATTATCTTATTGGCAACTTTTCAACAACTGCCAAAGGATAACTTGACCTAATTGCTATAAAATATTTTTAATGGGTTCTCAATGGGTAGAGTTTGAATAGATCTAAATCGGTCCTCTTGAAGGTTTACTAAACAATAGAAAACAACTCTGCATTAGTAATTTTTTGTTCTGGATCTGTTAGGGCAGAGTATAAATTTTCACTTACTTTTGCCTATTTGATGATAAAAGCCCTTACATATAGATGGAGCTTTTTGTTAATCTGTTATGACATTTAAAGAGATGACATTTTCAGGCAAATGCTAACAAGATTAAGCAAAGGTGGCAATTCCAATATTGGCCTAGTAGAGTTTAAGGCAAAACTCCTTAAATACAATCAAAAAATTACTTTAGGGGCCAGCCCCGTGGCTTAGCGGCCCGGGTTCGGATCCCGGGCACGCCACCGACGCACTGACGCACTGCTTGTCAAGCCATGCTGTGGTGGCGTCCCATATAAAGTGGAGGAAGATGGGCACAGATGTTAGCCCAGGGCCAGTCTTCCTCAGCAAAAAGAAGAGGATTGACATGGATGTTAGCTCAGGGCTGATCTTCCTCACAAAAATAAAAAAATTTCTTTATAGAACACTGTTATATTATCCAAAATGAAAATATAACCATGAACATGTTTAATAACAGAGTATCAAAATATTTCAATTGAAAATAGCTAGAAATATAAAAATTTTGAAGTAACACAATTATATTAGGGGTCATATAAAGAGTAAAAAATATACTTTTTTTCTGAGAAAATTCAGTTACTTTCTCAGACTGCCACCTGTAAGTTAATAACAAAAGAATAACAAAGAAAATTTACTATGTGGAAATAAAAAAATTCTTACATAGTTCTTAACCAAAGAGGAAATCAAAGTGTAATAACAGGCTATCTAGAAATAAAGGTATTGAGAAGACTATATGTGGTCCTGTCTCTATAGGGGAAAATTTCTGGCCTTACATGCTTTTATTTTTAAACAAGAAGAATTAAATATAAATGAACTAGCTTTTCAGCAAAATAAAATTAAAGAATAGGAAGAAAAAGTAAAAAAAGTAAAAAACATCATAATAATAGCATATTCCAGATATGTGTTAGCTATGATGTGTCAGGGACAATTTAAAGTACTTTCTATGTGATATTTTTATAATGCTCATACTTCACTGTGAGATGGCTCTTGTTATCTGTGTTGCACAGATGAGGAAACTGAGACATAGGGAGTTCAGTGACTTCTCCAGAGTCTCTCAGCTGGTAACTGGCAGGAACAGGATTCAGCCTGGGCCATCTGGCTCCAGAGACATGCTCTCATAGCCGTGCTATGCTGTGCTTCCTCTAAACACAGAAAGTAATGGCTTGGAAGGTTTTTTAAAAACCACTAAATTAATAAATTAAATGAAGAGATGATTCTTTGAAGTTCAACAAAACTTAGGCAAAACTTTGACAACACTGACTCCCAAGAAAGAGAGAAAACATGTATAGAATATTAGTAATGAGACAGGAATTATAAACATAAATTCAGAAAAATATGCAAAAAATTGTGAGTTAATACTTTGTAAGATTTTATATTATTAATTGGAAAATCTGTATTAGAGGAATATTTTTTAGGGAGCTATAAATTACCAAAGTTGACTCAAAGAGGCAGAGAACTTGATAGAGCAGAACCATGGAAAGAAGGGAACAGCTAGTCCAAGAGCTGCTTCCACAAAGGCACCAGGCCAAGACCGTTTCACACATAAATTCCAGCAGAATGTAAACCTAAGAGACTCAAGTGAAAAATATTAGAAAATGGTGGGCATTCAGAAAGGTGGTCAGGTACAACATAAAATAAAAAATCAACAATTTTTCACTAACCAGTAATAACCAATTGAAGAAATTATAGTGGATAAAAGATCGCAGTTCATAATACAATAAAAAATGAGAATGAATTAGTAAGAGGTCTAGGATCTTTAGTGAGGGAGAACTACAAAATTTAACTGAGGGACAAAGTAGGAAACTTGTTTGACTGGAAAGACAGCATGACTCTAGATAAGCAGGTGTTATAATAATGACATAAAATGTAAAATTTATCCCTGAATTAGTCAATTTTAATCAGAATTGCAATGAAACCATTACAAAATGATTCTTAAAACTTTCTAGAGGGTAAAATGAATTAGAATAGCCAAGAAATTTTTCAGGAAAAAAAACGAAATGAGAGGGAATTTGTTCTAGCAGATATTAAAACTTATTTTAAGGCTATATTAAGAGTGTGGAACTAGTACATGACCAGTGGAACAAAGCAAGAAGTCTTGAAATAGACCCAAGTGTGTATGTGGATTTAGTATATGATCAAGATGGCCTTTTAGGGGAAGGGGCTGTAACATCTGTCACACTGGACACGAACTGAATTTGGATCCCTGGCTCAGACCTGTATCTGTTAGGATTCTGTTCTGCATAAATTAGAGTATAGACAAAACAGCTGACACGGGCACCCACAAACAAAGTGGTTTTGACAAAACAGAGGTTTATGTCTCTTTCATGTTGCACGTCCAGAGGTAAGTAGTTCAGACTGATGGGGCAGCTCCGCCATTCTCAGCTCAGAGCGTCCACCCCCGGGTCCAAGGCAGCTGCTGTGGTTCGCATCCTCCCCAGCCAGTGGGAGGAGGAGATGGGACCTGGGAGTGCATCTGCATTCCCTCTCAGGCAGGATGCAGAGGTGGCTGACAAAGTGCTTCTACTCACGTCTCCTTGGCCAGAACCCAGCCCCTGACCACACTCGGCCCAGAGAAGCTGGAGGAGAGCTGGTGTGGTCTCTCGCTCAGGTGTTCTGTTATTAAAGAGGGAGAGAATGGACTCTGGTGGAGGGCAGCAGTTCCTACTCCAAAACACTTTGCAGATGAATTAGAAGTTTAATATCATAAACAAACCTTGAAGATTCTGGGAGAAAATATATGTCAATTGTTTATAATCTTGCAGTGTGGAGGCTTAAAAAGGAAGACAGTGAAGGCAGAATTCACAAAAGAGTTTTCATGTGTTCACATCCATTAATATTAAAACCACATGGGCCGGCCTGGTGGCATAGTGGTTAAGTTCACGCACTCCTCTTCAGCAGCCCAGGGTTTGCATGTTTGGATCCTGGGTGCAGACCCACACCACTCATCAAGCCATGCTGTGGTGGCTTCCCAAATAGAAAACAGAGGAAGATTGGCACAGATGTTAGCTCAGAGACAATCTTCCTCACCAAAAAAAAAAAAAA